CCAGGACCCCCACTCCGTGCGCGCGCGTCACTGGGGGGTCTGGGAGCGCGTGGCCGCGCGTCATTGGCTGAAGAAGGGGCACGTGGCCCTGCTGTACTGGCGGACGCGCGCGCGCGTGTGGCAGCCCCTTTTGGGGTACCGCGCGCGCGTGAGGGTGCGTTTGACTCTCATTTTCGGCCCGGTTCGGCCGAGTGTGATGGGCGAGTCAACGAGAATTTTCCGGTGCTTGGTGGTTTTAATGGGGAGAATTTCGGACGACGAGAAATCATTGAGTCGTGGAGTGATGATGTAGAAACTAATGAGAATGTTAATATTTGCTCCACTATTGACGAAGTGGGTTCTAGTAGGCATCGTTATAGTCAAGTCGTGGATTTTGGGAGTGATAGTGATGATTTGAATGAAGCACCGTTGGCGAGTGATCCCGCGGTGACAAGTAGTGAAGTTGAACCGATGGTCGAAGAGGAGGAGGAAGATGATATTCCGCCGGGTGACGTTGAGATTGATACTAGGAGGCAAAAGAAACTTAAGTCAATTAATTTAGACTTAGTTGATTTTGATAGTAAATTGACGGAAGAGCATTTGCAGTCTATTCGTCGTCTAGTTGGAGCACCTAGAAATATCGAATTGTTGTTGCCTCAGTAGGGAGACCGGTTGTATTCGCCACCCGATGGATTTCATATGGTTTTCTTGGCGTATGTGACGTGTACCTCTCAGATTACTCTGCATCCGACCTTGTTGAAGGTTTGCGAGGAATTCAATATAGGGTACAGTCAGCTAACTCCGACTGCAATTCTTATGTTTGAGGCGTTTTACCATAGAGTGTCTCTAGTGGGTTTGCCTGTGACTGTGAGTTTGTTCCAGGTGTTATTTACGCTGCATCGGCCCAATAAGTGGCCTTTCTTTTTGTTTTCATCCTCGCGTTCCCTACCAATTCGTGAAGAGTGTGAAGTTATCCTTGGGGGAGTGGAAAACCTATTTTTTTTATGTGAGGGCTCCCACTTTCGACGTCCCTGTGGTATGGAACCCTACGTGCAAAAGTTTCAAGATAACTGCGAATATGGCGAAGAGGATTAAGGAGTCTAGGTTGTGTGATGTGGAATTTGACCCGAGGGTTTTGATACCAAAGACGAAGGGTCAGCACCGTATATCCTTTTGTTGCCTTGACTTGTGTTTTTTTTTTTTTTTTTTTTGTAGTTATTTGGTAGTGTATACCTCATGTCTCTTATGTGTTTGTTATCTTTTGTAGACGGGGGTATCACCTTTGCGGCACTCCGAGCTAAGGCAAATGGGACGTCGAAGAAGGCATCGAAGAAGGTTCCCTCTACATTGGGAGGTTCTTCAAGTGGTTTGCCTCGTGAGGAGGTCCATGTGGAAGCTCCTCGAGTAGTCGCAGATGACCGTAGCAGTGCTGGTGAAGTGGAGGGGCGTCCACCGACGAGGGATCGTGGCAAGGGAAAGAGGGTGGATACCGAGTATGTGGCTGTGCCTAAGCGTCCACGGGTAGACCCAGAGGAGACTTATGCTTTCCATGGTGGAGGAGGGAAACAGCTGTTTACTTATGGCGTGAACCGCGATGGTAAGGAGTCGTACTGGGATGTGTCGGACTATGATTTGCCGATGTTGAGTACCGAGGGATTCGTTCGGGAGTATGACCGTGCTCGGATGTCTGGTAAGGGTCCTTCTCACATGTTGGAGTTAGCCGGTGGGGACATATGTCGGGTGAGTCCTTGTTTCTTTGAAACAATATTTTTTTTTTTTTTTTTTTTTGACTTGTGAAAAATAATTTTTTTTTTATATATAGTTGGTAGCGACTTGGAGATATCTCATGGAGCATGGTAGGAATGCGGAAGCTAGGAAGGAAGAAGAGCGGGCTCGAAGTCAAGCGCGTGAGGATGAACTTCTAAGCCAATTGGAAGTAGCGCGGTTCGATCTTGCTCAACGCTCGGAAGAGCTTGCTCGGAGGACAAATGAGCTTGCTGAGAGGACAGAGGAGCTCGATGTTATCCGTGGTGATGCGAAGGCATATAAGGATGATGTTCATAAGTTGAACGAATGCTACGACCAGCTGAAGGAGAAATATGAAGCTGAGAAGGCGACGGGGAAGAGGTTCCTCACGACATCAGGTGGTGCAGCTTATAAGGAGTCCATTGTGGAGGAGACTAAGGCTAGTTTCCGAGGTAGTGATGAGTGTGCTGCTATGATTGAGGAGCATGCATTGGCTGTGGTTTATAAGCCATTAGTGCGTGCTTGTCGCAAATATCTGCGCGATGCGGGTGGGATCAGCGAGCAAGTGATTCGTGGGATGGAAGCTGGCATATCCGATGAAGAGGATGATGAGGTAGATGTTAATGGGACGGGCACAGAGCTCGTGAACGACATGGTTGCGGATGACTCCACTGTGGGTACGTCTTCCGCTCGCGGTAGGGGAGCTTAGACTTATTTGCTAGGATAGTTATCCTTCCCCCCTTATTTTTTTTTACTATTATATTTTTTTTTATGGATTTTGTAGTTTATTTTTATCGCTGATGTAGATGGGTATGTCCACTACTATTTCGTTTGAGTTTCTTCCTTGTTTGACTTTGAAGTTGGATATTTCGATTTGTTTATTTTGACATTGTCAAGAATTAATGCGTTGCTTATATGTATTTACATTAGCATATACGCGATGTACCTGAGGAGGGGATCAGTCTCCAAGGTTTTTGTTATGGGTCGTGCCCTTTGTTCGGACCGCGTGGGTCTTAATTATATTTGTCCGTGGCCACGATTTAGAATTAATACCTCGTGAAACAAATAAAGGGACTTAGACAATCCAGCTGGCCAGGCTATATGGATTTTCTAAGTCTCTCTAAGTGTTTGTAAGGTTGTTTTGAGTTGGACTCTTGGTAAGAGATAATTGAGAAAAAGTAAGGCAAAATAGAATTGATTAATTCAAGGATAGCAAAGTTGCATTATTACAAGCCTATGTGAGGCGAATGTAAATAAATACCGCTAAACAAATAAATTGACTTGATAAAAAAAAATTCTAAGTGATTGTACTACGCTTGTTCTTCTTCCACGTCTTCCTTGTACTCGTTCGTTTTACTGTGCTGATGGTAGATTGACTTCTTTTGGCGTCTCTATGCCTGTCAAGTATAATTGAGAAAAAGAGGATTTGCTTAAACACTTGTATTGAGGGTTTAGTAATTGAAGCTGTGGTGGTGTGTGTGGCATTTTCACGTACCCTACTACGGGGGTTGTTTGTTCTTACTCGCACTACGAGATACGAAATCAACTCGTGGGTTGTTGTGATTTGCTATGTGATCATGCCTGCTAGTGAATTTTTTTTTTTCGTTAGTATGAATATCCGAGAGCATGCGTATGGTGTATTATAGTGGAAGTATCGTTACCCGTGGCGATGTGGTATGGAGTGTTCTCGCTCTTCGGGCCGTTGATTGAGTAATATGCATCCCCTCGTAATTGGCTCCCAATCTGTAATAAGATGGTGAGACGTGATGATGAGTTGCTGGTGAAAATAAATTTACTCGCCCCTCAGTTTAGGTAGGATGTTAACGCACCTAGTTATGTAGTAGAAAAAATTCTAACCATCTAGGAACAGCCTGCAAGACGAGTTACGTGGAAGGTCGTGGAGCCTGCAGATGCGACAATTTGTAAGTAACTTTCATATAGAAGGGGTATGGATGGTGACCTTAACTGATCTGATGTAAGGTAGATGTATACCTTAAGCGTAGAACCGTTTGAGGTTCACTATATTCCCTGTTCTGGGTATAGGGTGTCCATCAATGTTCTCGAGGCGATATGCTCCAGTGTTGACCACCTTTGTGATTTTATACGGTTCTTCCCACTTTGGGTCGAGCTTACCGATGGGGTGAGAGGCTTCAGCTTTTCGGAGGACTAAATCTCCGACTTGAAATGAGCGAGGGCGGACCTTTGAGTTATATGCCTTTGCCATGCGTGATTTATACATCTGTTGTCGGATGTATGCAATCTCACGTAACTCATCTACAAGGTCTAGGCTTCCCCGCATAGCCTCTTCATTAGTTGTTGGGTCATAGTTGGTGATTCGCCAAGATGGTTCTCCTATTTTGACAGGTGCGATAGCCTCTGTTCCGAAAGCTAGATTGAAGGGCGACTCTCCGGTTGCTGCTCGTGGGGTTGTGCGATAAGCCCATAGTGCGTTAGGCAACTCGTCCACCCACTTCCCTTTGGCACTTCCAAGCCTTGTCTTAAGGTGCTGGAGTATGGTGCGATTCGTGACCTCCGTTTGGCCGTTAGCCTGTGGATTTGCTACGGATGTGAAGAATTGTTTGATGTCCAAGCCGAGGCACCAATTCTTCACTTTGTCACCGCAAAATTAGCTTCCATTATCTGAGATAATGGAACGTGGGATTCCAAAGCGACAGACGATGTTCTTCCATAGGAATTGGATGACTTCTTCTTCTCGGATACGTGCTAAGGGTTCCGCCTCCACCCATTTGGTGAAGTAGTCCACTGCTACAATGACGTATTTACGTTCTCCTGTGGCGGGCGGGAACGGTCCAACTAAATCTATCCCCCATTGGGCGAAAGGGATGGGGCTGTCAATTGGTTGCATTAACGCCGCTGGCATGTGAGTGATATTGGCATGCTCTTGGCAGGGCTTACACCTCCGGACTAATCTTTTCGCATCTTCATGCATCGTTGGCCAATAGTAGCCTTGTCTCAATAGTTTGAGAGCTAAGGTTCTCCCGCTTAAGTGATTACCGCAGATGCCTTCGTGTACTTCTCTAAGTACGTAATCCGCTGTGGTCGGGTCGAGGCACTTGAGATAGGGGAATGAGAAACCTCGTTTATACAGTTCTTCTCCCACTGTTGTGAAGCGGGCGGCTCTTGTTTTTAACTTCCGTGCTTCAGTGGGATCCGTTGGAAGTTCCCCCTTCTTGAGATAATTCAGAATTCGAGTGAACCAGCATGGTTCATCCTCCTCGGTGTAGTGTACTTCAGTAGGCGAATTTATCTCCGGCTGAGGTGAGGTGAGGAGCGTCACCTTCCGACTTCCGATGCTGGCCATGGAGCTTCCTAGCCTAGCTAATTTGTCTGCATGTACATTATTGGAGCGAGGTACTTGTCTTATCTCGTAGCTCTCGAATTTAGATAAGAGAGTGTGCGAGAGAGCTAAATATTTCTCCATGGTGTCTTCTTTAGCCTCGTAAGTTCCGAGTATTTGATTGACGACGAGCTGAGAATCGCTTTGGATTAGGAGCTTGCGCGCTCCGGCTGCTAGGGCGAGGCGGATTCCCGCTATCAGTGCTTCGTATTCGGCAACGTTGTTTGAGGCTGTGAATTCGAATTGTTGAGCATATTCGAATTCGTCTCCATCGGGGTTCGTTAGGACGATATCCGCTCCACCTCCTGTGGCAGTGGAAGATCCGTCGACGCTGACGGACCAAGTAGGTAGAGAGGTGTTTTCTTCTACAGAGGTCATTTCGACTAGAAAGTCAGCCAATACTTGCGCTTTGATAGCTGGGCGGGGTTTGAATTCGACCCCGTATTCGCTTAACTCTATCGCCCATTTTGCTAATCGCCCGGATGTCTCATGACTCCTTAGTACTTGCTTCAAAGGATAATTGGTGAGAACTACCACCTGATGTGACTGGAAGTAAGGTCGAAGCTTCCGAGCTGCGTTGATGAGAGCGAGAGCGAGTTTCTCCATGTTGGTGTAGCGTTGTTCGGCTCCTTGGAGGGCGCGACTTATGTAGTATATGGGTTGGTGGCCTTTTCCTCCATCTCGGATGAGGACTGCGCTGACGGCATTAGCTGAGGTAGCTAAGTATAGTAGGAGGGTGTCTCCGGGCTGAGGTTTTGTGAGCAGGGGTGGGGATGCTAGGTACGACTTCAACTCAACGAACGCCTTTTGACATGCTTCATCCCATTCAAATTTCTTTCCTCCCCTTAAAATTTTGAAGAAGGAGAGGGCCTTGTCTGCTGATCTAGAAATGAATCTATTCAAAGATGCCAAGCAACCGTTGAGCTGTTGAACTTTCTTGATCGATGTTGGCGGAGCCATGGAGGTGATTGCTTCGATTTTTGCGGGATTAGCTTCGATTCCTCGCTGCGAAATCATATAACCCAAAAATTTGCCTCCCCGAACTCCGAATGAACATTTGAGGGGGTTGAGCTTCATCTTATATTTTCGCAGGGTGGCGAAACACTGATCTAGATCAGTTAGGTGGTCCGAGACCTTGACACTTTTGACGAGCATGTCGTCGATGTACACCTTCATATTTTTACCGATCTGATCTGCGAACATTTTGTTCACTAGACGCTGGTAGGTGGCTCCTGTGTTTTTTAACCCGAAGGGCATGACTTGATAACAGTAGATGCCTTGGTCAGTTATGAAACTAGCCCTCTCTTGATCTTCTGGCGCAAGTAAGATCTGGTTATACCCTAGGTATGCATCGAGGAAGCTGAGGAGTTCGCACCCCGAGGTCGAATCGATGAGCTGATCGATTCTGGGTAGAGAGAATGGGTCCTTAGGACAAGCTTTGTTGAGGTCAGTGAAGTCTACGCATAATCTCTACTTGCCCCCGGCTTGGGAACGAGTACTACGTTCGACAGCCATTCAGGATACTGGACTGGTCGTATGTGGCCCGCTTCAAGGAGTTTTGCCACTTCCGCTGTGATATGCTTGTTGCGCTCAGGACCAAATGTCCGCTTTCTTTGTTTGACTGGCTTCAACCTCTTGTCGACGTTGAGCCGATGTAGAGCTACCTGAGGAGGAATGCCCGACAAATCGTGGGCTTTCCATGCGAACACATCTCCATTGTGTCGCAGGAAGTTGATTAGCTGCTGCTCCGTGGTTGGATCTAAATCGGATCCTATTCGTATGATCTTGGAAGTATCTCCGGGAATGAGCTCTATGAGCTTAAGCTCTTCGACAGCTGCTAGCTTGATGCTGTCATCTGGTACACTGAGGAGGATTTCTTTATTATCCTCAATGATCGCGTTGACCCACTTCCGTTTGTCGGATTTTTGGGTGTCGTCTCCCCTTCCGGGTGGTTTAGGCTTCTTGGAAGGTTCTCGTAGGGCCCTTGCATAGCACTCTCGGGCGAGACGTCGTCTATCTCCAAGTACTTCCCCCATTCCATAGGGAGTAGGGAACTTCCACTTCTGATGGTAGGAGGAAGGCACTGACTTGAATGTATGGATGGCTGGCCTCCCCAGAATGATGTTGTAGGGTGATGGCCTGTCGACGACGAGGAACTTGATTAGTTTCGTGATTCGACAGGGGTCTTCCCCTAAAGAAACAGGTAGCTCCACTTCTCCCATGGACAAAATGCCTTCTCCTGTGAACCCTTTCAGGGGTGTGGAGATGGGACTAAAACGGGCATTATCTATGCCTAGCTGCTTAAAAGCGTGGAGGTACATGATGTCAGCTGAGCTCCCACCGTCCACTAATATCTTCTTGACCAAGAAGTTGGCCACCGTTGTTGTTACTACTAATGCATCGACATGGTCTTCATCTGGACCTTCAAGGTCGGAGGAGTTGAAGACTATGCTGTGATCTGGTCTTCGTATTTGATATATGCGTGCGGATGGAGAAGCACGTTCTTGATTCATGCGTGCTGATCGAGCGAGGGTGCGTCTTGCATTTTGTGAATCGCCCCCCGCCGGTCCTCCGAAGATAAAGGAGATGATTCCCCGGGTAGGCTGGTTATCGTTGTTATCTAGGTCACGTCGATGACCCCCCTCCTCTCGTCTTTGTTGTTGATCTCGATTGTTATCTCGGCGTGGAGGATCATCACGGCGCTTATTTCGTGGCTTATCAATGTATTCGCCTAAATGGCCTTGTTTGATCAGCCTCTCAATCGCCACTTTGAGTTGTGAACATTCCTCCGTAGTATGCCCTTTGTCCTTATGGAATCGACAATAACGATCCGATTTTTCTCGCTTTGCGTTTGGCTGCATAGGACGTGGAGGTTCTGCTAAACCTTTCTGTTCTATCACGTGAAGGATTTCCGCGAGGCGAGCGTTTAGCGGAGTGAACCTATTGTAGGAGGAAGAGGGTTGGCCTTGAGGTGGAAGTGGTGGACGTCGATCATCGCGCTTCCTATTGTCCTGACGGTCATCTTTCCTTTTTCTTTTAGGAGGAGCATGGGTAGAGGCTTCCTCTATCCGGACGTATTTTTCGGCTCGATTCAGTAACTCCTCTAAGTTGCCTGGGGGTCTTCCGGCGATAGATTCTTTGAATCTACCCGGTTTCAAATTCTGCTGCATAATCCCGGAGAGCATGTCTTGCCCCACACTAGGGACCTCATGGACGGCTTCTACGAAACGCTTAATGTAGTTGCGGAGCGTCTCGTTATCTCTCTGTACTACTGAGAAAAGATGAGCTGGGGTCTTGGCATATTGTTTGTTGATGGCGAATTGGTTGGTGAACCGGGTTGACAGCCGAGCGAAGGTGTCAATCGACCCTATGGGTAGAGAGTTGAACCAATTCATTGCCCTCTTGGACAGAGTGGTACGGAACATTTTGCACATCGCAGCATCCGTTGGGCCATATAAATCCGCCATGGCACTGAATTTCTCTATATGTTCCTGTGGTTCGGTGGTCCCTTCAAATTGAGGTAACCCCGAGATCTTTACTCCTTGAGGTAATACCTCGTTGAGAATATCTATGGTGAAGGGACTGCGTCTTGTTGGGAGAGGCATCCTTTCGCCCATTTGATTATTTGGTTGGGAGAAAAGGTTTTGGCGAGACATTCGGCTGTTTACCTCGTCTTCTCCCTCATTAAAGAGAGGGACTCTTGGTGGTGATGCGTTCCCCCGTGGGGGTGAGCGCAGACGCGGCTGTCTGGGCTGTGCCCCTCTGTAGTTAGTAGATAGCTGCACTCGGGACCGTGGGTCCGAGGTAGAGGAGGAGTGATACGAACCCCGTAGAACTTGTTACGAGACCCAATACCCTACGCGGAAGCAAGATCGAAAACACCCAAAAACAAAGATTCAAGTTTGGCGGAAGCAAGGAACAATGACCCCATAGCTATAAAGAGCTAGAAACCATTATTATCAAGGTGGAATATTGACCCCGTGATTATAAAGAACCAGAATCCAATATTATGTCGCTAAGAAAGTTACAAGAATCCACTTGTAAGATCCCGAAGAATGCTGTAGAACAGCGAAGGAGAATTAACTCTCAAAATACTCAAATATTCATTAAAATTCGTCTTATAAAATAAGCCAAATTGGCAACCTATTTATAAGGTCTAAAAAGACTCTTTTTTCACAAGGAAAATGACTCCTACCTAAACTATAATAAGGAAACTTGTAAATAAGCAAATCCTAACCATAAAAGAATCTAAAATAATAAAAACATAATAAAACCTAAATTAAAAACGTGAATAAGTAAATTAAATAACTTGATCTTCAAGTCGACTTCTTGATCACCCTTCTTAACTCGCGACATTGGGCTGTGCACATGCATGCAATTAAAGCTCAATTTCGACACTGTTCCACTTCGAATATCTCTTCGCTCAAAACATGAAAGTTGTAGATCTTTCAGTTAGCTTTCCAAATCATTTTGAATCAGCTGACATGGACTTCAGATGCAAGAGTTATAACTAGAATGGTAAACTCTGTCAGAATAGGCGAGAATCTCGGATGCATGGAATTCGACTTGTCCAACGAATTCTTCCTCTTCCTTTTCTTCCAATTCCTCAACAACGACTCTTCAAAGGCCTGATTCAAGCCTTTACTCTTCAACTCCAACACGAACAGCTCCATTAATCTCACTCGCTTTCTCTTCTTCCAATTCTTTGTCTTGGAGCTTGTGCGGATCGTATCAAGGAGACACTTATTTGATTCTGGATTGGCGGTGGGGCCACAGGTGGCGCTATCGGTGGAGTTTGCGCCGGTATCGCATTGGGAGCGTTTGCTCCCATCGTGGCGATATATTGAGTTACGGCCTCCGTGGCGGCGCGAGTTGAGGCTTCTGCTATCATGAGTTGGAGCGCGTTCTCGGTTATTTGAACCGTTCGAGGAGCAGGGAGTGGTGGATCGGCGAGTGGTGGATCCCGAGCAGGGATCACCTGAACCTCGCGGGGTGGATCTGCCACACGTGGAGGAGCTGGCTCCGCGGCACGTGGAGGAGGTGGCATGCCAGATCCTCCACGGACTGGGAGGTTATTAGCTGTGTCATTTTCTCTCCGAGCTAACGCCTCAGGAGGATCTTGTTGGCTACGTGATCTGGTTTGCATCGTTCCCACAGATGGCGCCAAAATGATGATGCTAAAATATAGCTCACCGTAGTAGTATAGAAAACGAGCTGGGAGAGCAAAGCTGATCAATAGCTATTCAACTCGATGATCCTGAGGTCCCTGCGAAATGAGCACACGTGAACTAAGCCGGGGGTTGATCCGGCGGAAACCCCTCTGACGCTCAAGTCAGATGTACGGATCGTAGAGATAATAGAGGAAATACAACTCGTAGTCGATTGTCAATAATTAGAACGTACCTTTTCAAATGAGTAAAACACCTATTTATATATCGGTGATTGGGTTGGGCTTACTTTGTTGGGCCCAAGCCTTACTTTGAAGGTATTTGGGCTTTCGTGTAGTGGGCCTAATTAGTAGATAAATTTAAGGGCCCATTTAGATATATCACTCTTCTTTTCATGCAAGTGTCACGTTATAATTTAAAAAATACATGTAAGAGCTTCCTATCGAATAGGGGGTGAAGTAAAACTATCACATTCAACTTTAGCCGATCAGTTTCCATAATGCTCTCAATTATCTATCGTCAATCAACCTCGTCGAAGTTATTATTTACGTAAGGATATAGCTTTTATTTTCCTAATAAAAAATATTTTGCTTTATTATGGGCATACAACTGAATCCTATGGGAATAGAACCATTGACCTAACACTACCCTCCAAATCTTTATACCACTCAGACAATGCCTTTGTGGTTAATGACATGTTTGACATACATTTTGGTACCATAATTTAATTACGTAATTAGATTTGTAGTTATTGGACGTTTTCCTCAGTCTAACGGTTTGTCCAAATTATTTGAAACCATGTTATCATTTGAATAAAGTTTGCAATGACAAATATATGCAATTTGCAATTGTATATTTCCACGACCATCAATAGTCCAAAGCTTAAATTGCAAAGATTCATAGCATTTAGAACATTAATCGTGTCAAGATTTGGTTCCACTAATTCGTAATTGTCTAATAGACTTCGATAAATTGACAACGATAGTCGCGTAACTTCCCTATCACAAGCTAAGCATTCGAAATATATTGTACAAAATACATTGATTAACTGAGATGTGTTAGATAAATTATAAATTTATCAATTATTTAATATCTCGTAAAATCATTAGAATTCATTAATCCCGAGTATATTGATTTTTAGAGGCTTAACTGTATAGTTTATTATAATGTTTAAAATACTTTATGAATTTAAAATTTATCTGCAAACATGCAAAAAACACATCTTCTCATTTGGTTGTGTTAAGAATCCACGCAAAAAACCAAACAAGAAATAAAAACACAAAGTAAACCGTAATCGAGAAAATACCAAAAACCACACACATATTTTATAGTGGTTCGATCAAGTTGATCTACGTCCCAGTCACCAGAAACCTTGTACAGATCGATGATCAATCAAATATTACAATTACAATACAATTCTCAATATTCTTGTTCAACTCTCTATCGAGGTGACACATCAGTGATCAACAATGGCTATGCATTGTTTCTGCGTTCTCTCTCCCCCACTCTATACACCAAAAGAGATTTCAGAGTTTTTGTCTCTTTATTGAATATATTCTATCTCTAAGATGATGGTTTGTGCTTGTATGATCTCAGCAATGTACATATATCAATTATCACATCGATCATTCTTCCTTGGCAAAACTGCATGCGGTTATACTGTTTTCTAGCTGCACATGGCAGCTCAACAATCATGTTGTCCCGATCACCTTGTAACGTAGCTCAGACGCTTATTTTCAGCCTTCGATCATTCCTTATACAAGCAATCTGGACCATCCATTTACAATCTCCACCTTGGTCCATATTGCTCCTCACTCCTCTGTGATTGCTCTTCTATGGTTCCATAACTAGGGATCATGTTTGCCTTGATCACCTGGATCAAGGACTCGCACTAATTCCATACAACATATGAATTTTGGACCTGACAACACTTTAGTAAGTGCATCAAAAGGATTATATCATCTATAGGAACTTTCTTCACAATTACTATTGGAGCTGTTAGAATTTATTTCGTGCAGATATAAATTATTTGTGTCAGATTCAGTTTTTCGTTACTGTTGCGTGAAGAGTTGCAACAGTTCGTGAAACAGTTTGTAAAAACAGAAATAAACGAGACACAAATTTAATGTGGTTCGGATACAACTGTACCCTACATCCACGGGGACCTGCAAATAAAATTTACTAATTTTTAGTTTTACGAATACAATAATAGGACTTAATCAAAATACAAAGACTCCCTCTTTGTTGACGCCGTTCTTGTATACTACGCTGAATTATAAATCTTCAATTTGCAGCACGTCCCTTGCTCCGCACGGTTGAACTCCCTTCAACGCTGAATCCCTCAGTCGGCGGATCGATCTCCTCCCGAGATCTGTTTAAGCCCCTCTCCCGAAGAACCGATCTTCTTTTTGTATAGAAGAAGCAAACTTGTGATACTCCTTGAATCTGTGTCTTCACCACAAGCCTTGAAGCCGGTATATTTTCTATGAAAATCACGTATCACGATGGAGCAATAAAAACGAGAGAGAAAAAAATATTTCTCTGAAATCTTCTCTCGATTAACAAGACGCTCCGTGAGCAGCAAAAATAAGAGCGGAAAAATATAATTTTTCTTCTCCAACAAAAGGCGTGCTACAGCAACCAAGAAAAGAGAGATCGGCTTCTCTCCAAAACGACGCCAATAAAAACGAGAGTAAAGAAAATATTCTGCGTAAATTTTTCTCTCTAGGAAGACGTAAGATCTGAGGCGCCGTATTGCTGTATTTATACTTCTACATGTTATAAGAATCCTACAAGGAAAAAAGAGTCCATTAGGGTTAGGAAACTCTTAATTACGTAGGAAATAATATTTTCAAAACAAGGAAACTCTTTAGAAGAATAATTCCTATTATAAATCAATTAATGACAAATTAAAAGAATTAAAAGCTACAAGGACTCTTCCCTTCTTTAGCTCAGGGTATATGAAAACTTGTGGCACAAGTTTTATTAATTCTCGTACAATTAGAATCCATAGGATTCTAACAATCTCCCCCTTTGTCGTTTATTGATTATAATTATTTTGTCCCGCTGAGTAAAAAACCTGAAAATAAAACAATCAGATGATTAGACCGAAGCAAATAAAACGAAAGATCATCATCAACTCTTTTCAACAACAAGAGTGGCATCAACTGCTGCAACAGTAAGTGCCACAGTTTCAGCAACTGTTCCCACAGTAGTGGCTTTGGCAGGTGGTTCACAACGGAGTCAGCTCCCCCTGCATGTGTATCTCCCTCTGTGAATGATCCTTAGGCAGCTCCTCTTGTAAATGCATTCATTCTTCCCCTTTGCTTACTCGGCTTGATAGACATGGAAGGCGGTGATGACACGTGTAAATTATCACGTGAA